GTGTTAGCAGGGCTATACCCCACTGTTAGCAGTGTTATAGCTCAATTTTAGCAGAGTTATAGCCCAATTTTAGCAGAGCTACCCCAGTGCATTGCAACAAATCTCTCTGCGATAGCAGGTATGACCAAATGTTAGCAGAGATAACCCAGTGTTAGCAGGGATAACAGTGTTAGTAGGGTTATAGCCTAATTTTAGCAGTGCCACCCCAGTGCATTGCAATAACTCTCAAAATATGCAAAATTTGTACAAACTTATTTTTGTTTTTTATAGGAACGAAGAGAAGCAGAAGAAAGGGCAGACTTTGAACGCAAAGAAAGAATAAGGTAAGTCTTATATTGTAATTATCTCTTGAACCTCTGACTCCATATTGGAGCAAAGTCTTTACCAGAGTTGTTCATGGCTGAGTTAGATGATTTCTATCACTTTAGATCTTCACATATTTCCTCTAACTCAAGCCACCTTAAATACAAGCACAGTCTCCTGAACGAAAAAAACTATATGTTTTACAGGTTAGAGCAAGAGAGGAGAAAACAGATGGAAATGGAGAAAATGTTAGCAAAGCAACGTGAGATGCAAGCTGAACAGGAAGAACAAAGACGGAAAATGCTGGAACAGAGAGAAGTTAGTTTGTTTCAGTGTCATTGTTTAGTAGAGTGGAGACTGAATTTTGGTTTACCATAGTTGTCGGAGTATAAACCCCTCCGGGAAAACGGCAAATTGACGAAAAATTAAAGTTAAAACCTCTCCTGAGCAATAATTTAAGCTAATTTATTCATAAACAAATCGTTGTGTGTACACAAGTGAGTACTAGCATCATCCAAATTAACTTGAGGATCCCCGGGGTCACTAATCACTCTTGGGTGCATTTACTTAGGGAAACAGAATTCAGCCCTGCGTTTCACGTGAATATTGGTCTGTACGTTTTGGGGTAACGAAAGTATATTCTAAACTAAGTTTCAAAATAAAAACTAACACAACTGCATTGCGTAGCAGCAAATGATCCCGTTTGCACAATTCCGTCATGCTGCGTTTCACAATTGTTGATTATCACTCAGTGATTATAATAACGTACAAAAAAATTAAATTTGTTGAATTGTTATGAAATGCAAATAAAATTCAACTTAGTTTCATCGTTAGCAAATGATTTCGGTCGCATATCGCATATAAACGCTAAATGCTGTCGGGTATCCGCCATTCTCTTTCTCTTGCATTAGTTGACCTAATAGGTCAAATTGCTAATTAACCAGTCAAAATATAATCAGATAAATGACTTGTTGTAAAATGCTGTAAATTTGGAGGGGGGCTTATACTTGAGCAGGGGTTTGTACTTGGACAACTATGGTAGTTTCATTGAAAGGTAACCAGGCTAGATACTTTCTTGCATCTCTTTATTATGGGTGGATGTGAAAAATGTGATTGATTATGTTGCTAAGAATTCCTAATATTGGCTGGGCTCATAACCAGGAATGTTACCAGGAGTTATCCTAAATGGCCATCGCAGAGCTGATAGTTTTGTGATTTGGAAATTGGGAATTCCAGAATAACATTCCAAAGTATTTTCATGAGATTAATTATTAATTATGAGATATTTGTACAAGTGAGCCCAGCCAAAAAAGAAGATCCCTAATTGGCTAGTTAATTGAAAGTTAGTGTATGGTAGCCAATGAAAAATAACCTCACAAGAATTTAATATATCTATAAAGACTGCTACACTCACCTTATTTTTTACATTCACAGGCAGCTAAGAGAGAACTTGAAAGACAAAAGCAACTTGAATGGGAGAGGAATAAGAGGCAAGAATTAACAAATTTGAGAATTAAAGAACAGGAAGAAGTCTGTCATCTAAAAGCTCGTAATAAAACATTAGCATTTGAAATTGAAGGTTTGGTAAGTGTTCCCCTCTCTTTTACTTTTGAGTTGATCATTTCTTTTACAGATGAGTTCATAGTAGCCGTTCCATTACTGGGACATGGATGTACTAGTTTATTTGAAACCTAACAACTTAAGCTAAAAATATTTTTATATATTGCACCATTTTTCTATGAAGCACAAGTCATTCGTTACTTAGTTCTGTTGACCCAGTTTCTGCATTTTGTGTGCTTCATCCTTAACCATACAATATCTCTGTATTACAAATATCAATGTCATCAGCAGATTGTGCAGTTTATTCCAAAGCACAGATCTACTATATAATAATATTTTTTTTCCTGCAGGATGAAAGGAAGGAACAGTTACATACACAATTATATGAATCAAGCAAAAAAATAACAGATCTTAGAAATAATTTAACACTTATGGCAAAAACAAGAGATATAAAAGTTACTGAACTGGAGAGATTGCAGCAACAGGTAAAATACATTGCTGGTGTGGAGCAAGTACATTAGTAGTTTTTAGTGTAGAGCAAATACTGAAGCAAACTGGGTCAAACCCTGCATGTGCAACAGACTTTCCCAGAATTATTTGGTAATGGTTGCGACTTAAAGAGAACCTTGGTCATAATGTTCACGTGTAAATACTAGTCTTTTTTACCTGGCTGGGTTGATGTCATTACTGCAGACCAAATACTGAAGCTGAGTCCAACCCTGCCCCAAGTGTGTGTGTACCACAAACTCAAAGCCACTTGTAGAGAATATTTTTTTTATTATTGGATGTGACTTTATATGTAGATACAAGTTTTTTTTTACCTGTTCTGGTTGATAATGTTTATTCGATGCGTAAATTCCTTAGGAAAGGATAAAAAGGGTCTTACAAAAAGAAAATTAAAAACTATAAACTAAAAAAAAATCTTAATTCTTAAAATATAAAAAAAAATTAAAAAAAAAAATTGCAACCAATGGTGAATACAGAATAGAAAACAATATCTAATTATAACCTAATACACTGTTAGTTGTTGCTGTTTTGTTTCATTGCTGTTTTTTAAGAAGAAGCTAAGGCTGGTGCTAGTGTATGGTTTCCCATAATTAATATGAATTTGTTCTGTTTTCTTTATCAAAATTTGGGATACCGCATTGAATTGCTCTAATATGCTATGTCACATTGTTTTAAACATGGACTACCTTTGTTCTTTTGATAGCACTCACAGGGCCAAGATGCATACTTGGCCGAAGTCAAAGCAGATTTACTAAATCAACTAAAAAAGCTGAATGTAGACAATCCCACAGGTAAATGTTGAACATCTTTTATTACCAATAATTGAATGGGTTCTTTAGAAAGTTGATCTGTCAATTCAAGTCGGAAATATTTAGTGATCATTGCTCTTTCTTTCAGCATACAAGTTGTGTTAGGGATGCTCATCTGAGTTTCATTTTTCTCAAATTAGGTGACACTCTTCGAACTGTTATGTTTAGTTTTAATAATAAACAAGTAACAATGAAGAGGCTTCGCAATGAACTTGAAGAAATAGAGAAAGAAACCGCCCTGAAATTAAAAGAAATTGACCAATCTCATCCACAGCTTGCAGTAAGTATGACTTGCACCATATATCTGCTGATATACTCATAAAAGGTTTCCCAAACAACTATTTCTATTCCCACTGAGTTCTTGTTGACTGAAAGAGAGCCTCAGTTTTGCCCCTCAAATAATGTTTTTCTGTCGTCATGTTCCTTGTTCTAATTACCATGTTTACATGGATGAGGGCAAAAGAACAGTGGTCTTGATGGAGGAAGCGAGTAAAAACAAAGTATTGTTAGTCTCCACAAAATTTCAGCGATCTTATGATTTTTCTCTGTATCACAAATACAGCTTGTCTGTTTGATTCAGCTATGATCACACAACTTACAAACTTTGGGGTCAGCACATTTGAATTTACTGGAAATACTTTGTAAAACATTTCAAGTTCATATTCCAGATGTTGAGCATTTGGATTCTATTTAAATATCTCCAAACTGAAGTCTGATGTAATTGTTGTAATTTTTTGTGTCGATTCAAGTAAGGTTTAGATAATCCCTTTAAAACTTGTTGTTTCTAGAATACAAAATCACTTTATACCAATGAAGAACTTGAAATAAAGAGGCTTTACAAAGTACTACAACAGAAACAAGCCGAGGTTGCTGCTGCAAGAAAAGAAATTGAAGAAAATAGTAAACGGAAAGGACTTTCTGAAATAAGGTTTGGAATCACTCCATTTTCAATGACTTGTTGATTTATGTGTGATTCTGATAGACATTCTTCAAAAATTCTAACAATTTGATGGTTTCTACAAGGATGCTGACACGAACTTTTGTTTCTCTTTGAAAGTGAAAGAAAAGCAGCTGAGGATCAAAGGCGACACCAACAACAGATGGAAGCTATTAGGCTAGCACAACAACAAGCAGAGCAGAAAAAACTGGAAGATCTACGGAAACGACAAGAAGCAGAAAGAAAGGAGCAAGAGAGCAAAACAGTTTCCAAAAATATATTTCAAAGTTCAAAAACAATACAGGAAATGCAGCAGCAAGAGTTGCAAGAAAAACTTCAAAAACAACTTTTGAAACAGCAACAACATGAAGAAGAGACACAGCCACAACCACAGCAAGATTTCTTTGCTAGTAAGTGCCATGTTGTCTGAAGTTCATCATCATTAAATATTTTCGTTATTTCACATAATCTGTGTATTTATGATAAATGAAGAACTCAACTGTCTTTATGTCATTGATTCAAAGCAGTCACCTGGCAAGAATGTGGAATACATGGAAAAAAGGAAAGTTAGGAAACTGGTTTTAGCCATTTCCCATCAAAAACAGGAAGATGAAAATCACAATTGTTACACCGGTACACAGATATGCACAACCACAAACAGTAAATCACAGTAAATGCTGTATTTCAGCATTCTTCACACAACCAGTAATTAATTGGATACTTTTCAGCTTGTAACCAATAAGTGCAACATTAAGAAACTGTTGACCGGAGTGCCAGAGCTTCCCTAGGATAAGATTTATTCAATTCAATAACCGAATTTGCGTCATTCATAGAGCATCTGGTTATGTAAATTACGTACATTTGTATATAGAGGTGTTTCTGTGGTCAAAATAATTTTTTAATGAATCAGTATACAAGAAATTAATATGATTTTTTTAGCTCCGCTGTAGACAAAGTCAACGACTCGAAGCTCTTCATATTACTGATTGTCCGTAGTCGTCAGATGTCTGTAGTATGTAATCTGTCGTCAACTTTTTACATTTTTGTCGTCTTCTTCAAAACCGTTAAACCAAATGCTTTTATATTTGCAACATAGATTCTTGGGGTAGTCCTCTGTCAGATTTCTTCATTTCGTTGTAATATCTACAATTCTCTGATTCTGATGAATATGTTTGTCATTTTTGGTGAAAAGTGATATTTTCGACTTCTTGTTGAAAACCGCAAGTCTGATTGCTTTGATATTATACATGTAGGTACCTCAGGTAGACCTCTGTCAAATTTGTTCATTTCATGATTATATCTTTAATTTTCTAATTTTGATGAATATTTTTGGTAAAAAGTGATATTTCAACTTCTTGTTGAAAACAAGTCTGATTGCTTTGACACTATATTATTAGGGTAGACCTCTATCAGATTTGTTCATTTTCTAATATCTTCAGTGCTTTAATTGAAATCTGCATTTGCTAACAGCAGAGCTATCCTCAGCCGAGAACTTCAAGCTGCTTATTTGTTATTTCTGTGCTTCTATTGGAGATATCTGCTTCCAATTGGGCAAATATAATATTTGCCTTTTCATGAGCATCATTTGAGTAGTATTCTGACCAGTAGCATGGCTACAGCTCCATTCTGTTGTGGGCTGCTAGTAAATATTCGTTGAGAAAATATACTGCAATGAACTAAGTATTTTTATATTCTGATTGTGAAAACATTGGATTGTGGAAAGGTGAATTAGTCCAACACATTGTCAATAGTTGATGGTATATCTAGATTGATGGACTCTTTGGCTGTTGTTTCTCATCGCGTCTTTTTCTCTGAGGCCCAGTGGACTTTGGCTGCTGTTTCTGACAGTGTCTTTTTTTCTGAGGCTGTCGTTTCCATTTGTGTCTTTTTTCTGAGGCCCAGTGGACTCTTTGACTGTTTCCGATCATGTCTTTTTTCTGAGGCCCAGTGGACTTTTTGGCTGTTGTTTCCGATCATGTCTTTTTTCTGAGGCCCGGCCAGTAGACTCTTTGGCTGTTGTTTCTGATCGTGTCTTTTTGTCTGAGGCCCAGTGGACTCTTTGGCTGTTGTTTCTGATCGTGTCTTTTTTTCTGAGGCTCAGTGGACTCTTTGGCTGTTGTTTCCGATCATGTCTTTTTGTCTGAGGCCCAGTGGACTCTTTAGCTGTTGTTTCTGATCGTGTCTTTTTTTCTAAGGCTCAGTGGACTATTTAGCTGTTGTTTCTGATCATGTCTTCTTTCTGGAGCCCAGGAATAGAGATTTTTTTAAGGGATTGTCAAACTAAAAAGATGTACTAATAATCATTAACAAAATGAGGACAAGGGTTTTGTAAAATATTAAAGACTGCAAAAATAATTTACCTTAGTATTGGCACACAAGAATGAAAAAAAAAAGTTATAATAGAAGCACTAAATGTAGCTACCTCTAGGTTTTTTGTATTCATTGTGTATATATGATGAAAATGTGTGTGATTCACATACTGCCTACATACCTTGTTTGTATACTATTTACACATGTATTGTCTTGTTTCAGCCTCCACCCATGATGATACTTTTTGGTCAGACTCTGAAGCTTAAAAAAAGTGCACTATTGTCATTAATTCTTGTTTTAAAAAACACACTTTATATAAGCCAAATTTTAAATAAAAATTATTTCTAATGCTTTCTAGTGTTTTGATCATGTGGCACAAATAAAATGTCTTCAGTTCAGTTTTATAATGCATGTCTTCCATATCATTCATTTTCAAGCTTTATTCTAAACCTAGATATGTCTTGCTTGTTAAACTTCTTTATAGATTTTGATGATGCTTTCACGCCAGCAGCAGCACAGCCAGAGGCAGCCTCGCCCTTTCAACTAACACAGCCAGAGACGTCCTCACCTTTTCAGTCAGCACTGTCAGAACCTGCTGCACTCTTTCAGTCAACACAACCAGACCCTGCAGCGCCCTCTATACAGCCACAGGAAAATCTACAAGTATCAGAAGAGGGGAAATCTATGCCAAAAATTGAAATATTCCGTTATAAAGCTTTATACGCTTTTCAAGCTCAAAATTCTGATGAATTATCCATTAATCCTGGAGATATTATCTTAGTAAGTTTAATCTTTTCTTTTTTTTCTGCCAATTTTTTTATGAGGCTTATTGTTATTCGCAGTTATAGACATATTTTTCCTCTGTTACATTAGTCATACTTCTTCGTTTATTTAGGTTGCCAAAAATCAAAATGCAGAACCTGGATGGTTAGGTGGTGAGTTAAATGGTAAAACTGGATGGTTTCCTGAAAACTATGCTGAGAAGATAGGATCATTTTCCCCTGTAAATACAGCAGTAGCAGCAGCAGCAGCTGTAGAGACATCAGCCACAACAACACCAACGTTTTCACAAGAACCATCTGAATTGTGAGTATATATGCTATATAACACTAATACCACTGGACCATCTGATTTTTGTGAGGGGCGATGTTACAAAGAAAACATTTTAGTAGGTGAGGCATAAAGGTCATTGTCTCATGGCCTAGAATTTGGAGCCCTGCTCTCTGAAACTCTGGTATCGTGGTGATGTTTTATCTTATGTAATGTCAAATCTGAACATGATCAGCAGGTCAACCCTATCCCTCATAAATCAAATGGTTCAGTTCTTACTTGCTGTTATGTTACTATAACAAGAGTTGTTGATGGGATCTCATAGCATAGCATTATGCATGGTGAAGCTGTCAGATGGTCACACCACAACTGATTCAACTGTTGTGCCATGCCATGCCATGCCATGCCATGCCATGCCATGCCATGCCATGCCATGCCATGCCATGCCATGCCATGCCATGCCATGCCATGCCATGCCATGCCATGCCATGCTGAAATCACTGCATGGTTTGTTGGGCACCCACAGAATTGTTTTAACACATTTAATACCAAGTAACACCCTGTGATATAAGCTTTGTTCTGGAACTAACTGTTTTTTGGGGACCACAGTACTAATTCACTCAGGTTGGCAACCTGTAATGTGTATGCTTTTGTGAGTAACCTAAATTAATAGTTCAAAAGCATGTTATTCAGCACGATTTGAATTTATAATATTGCTTTCCTTGTTTGAAAGAATGGTTTTCTTATTTTGAGCAATTCCTGAGTCAATGGACAAGATTAAGATTGTACATGATTGGCTACCTGACCCTAACACCTAAACAGTTGGGCTAATCAGAAGAGCTGCTTGCGAGTGACAAGTTTTTTGGACATATCAAAATCGGCCTCGTATATACGCCTCGACTCAACTGTAATTCCTTTAATACTTATTTGAAGGTGATGTCTTAATTAAAATACATTTATTTCCATATTTAGAAGAATTTCTTTATCACTTCTCGCATCAAGCTTATTTGCATCATTGTAGCATGTGCAAAAATTATCCTTGACCTTTGAACACCTTAGTTTTTTCTAGCAATATTTGGATGAAGCATTTTGTTCATATTTGTATGTATTTTTCTATAACTTCTTTGTAAATTCTGAACCAATTCCCCATCAAAAACATTTTAAAACTCAAAAAAAGGATGAACATATAATTTTTGATAGGTGTTCGAAGGGTTAAAATTGTTTTAATAAATTGCTTTCAAATAAATAAAATAAATCAGATATGTGCTGTCCTTAATTCTAATAATCGCACATATGTTTCATTCCTGCTTTATTGTATTGTTTATTTGAATTTTTTCCCCATCATGGTTTGGCCCTCCTATTTTGCACCATCTTGGCTGAAAGATGAATGTAGTGAGCAGTACAACCTAAATGTGAAATAGTACATTGATCCCTTATTAATCCAGTGATATAAAGGTGTTATGAATAATGGTACAAAGTGTGTTAAAATAACCTTGTATCTTACTTGTGTAAAAGAATTGATGTCATGGATGAGGTAACCCAGCAACAGGAGGAGGTAGCAGTGATAGGGGATGATGATGTGGTGGTGGTGGAGGAGGAGGTGGCAGAGGAGGAGGGTGAGATTGAATCAGGTTCTGATTCATCATTAGATGAAATACAAACAAATGAACCAGAACTTGAACCCCGACTGGATAGGTAAGTTTACTTGAGTCAGTACACAAACTATAAAGAATCTCATTGTTAAACTCAGTGATAAGTTTAAATTCATTACTTAAGAAATGTAAGTATTAAATAAATCATTGCCTGTTAGTTTAATCTTTAAAAGTAGAGAGAAAAATAAATAATAAATGTATAAAAGCCATGTATTTTCTGTCAACATATTTTGTGTACTGTAAAGCACTTTTTGCTTGGAATTTATTTTCGTTGAATGGATGATTCAGTGAAAATAAAATCCAGGGAATATACCTTTTTTCCTATATTTTACATTCAATTGATTAAAAATTGGTGAAAATAAATTGAATACAAAACACTTCAAAAGTCTTGTCAGTGAAAATTAATTCCATCTAGAATAAAGTAATTTACAGTATGTAAACATAAAAATATAACTAACGTAGTTGTTAAAGTTATGCTGTGCACAAAACCCACCAATATGCTTGTTTTAAGATAAAACAAATCTTTCATAAAACTCTTCAGGTAATCAGTCATAGTCAAGTCATGTTGGATGCTACTCTGCATATGTACGTGTAACTCCCAACTCCCTTCGTGCAAAGTGTTTGGGAAATGGTTTAGCATGCCATGCCATGTACGTCTGATGCATTCTAAGACCCCATGATTATTGCTTTCTTTAGTAGTTTGTCATGGCGCTGTAATCTGAATGCTATAGTAATTGTGGATTCCAATATACTTTGTACATTCTACTGTACGCTGTATTATTTCACCCCACAGACATTGTATATGAACTTTTTGGCATTAAAGCTTGTATTTGAGAATGTATAATTTGATGTGTGGGAAAAGTTGGTGTCAATGTCATGAGTAAAAAAATGGTGTTCCCTGGATAAATTATTTTCCACAAATCATTTTAATAGCTTGTATTAGAAATGCTGCAACACTTCTAGTTTAAATGTACAAATAATCCAATTATAGACAAGTGTCTAGAAAAAAAGCAAAAAAAAAATGTCCTTGTTTTCACTACTGTGATTATTTCTGGCATAGGAATCTGCAAGCTTTTACAATAACTCAAAAAGTTTCTTCTCAAACTTAGACTATGTGCATGTATGTGAGAAAAAGGTTATAAATCAAGTCATTATGTGGCTTCTCTCATTTTTATCCAGAATAACCTATTATTTATGCAATTTTGCAGTTTGCTTCTTATTAGAAGAACTAAAGGTTGTAATGTATCACTTGATTGTTAGGAAACAAATATTTCAGACTTTTTACTTCAAAATTCTGACATTTGTTGTGTATTACATACATGTAGTGGCTACAAGAATAATTGTCATGTGCTCACAGATTCTAAGTTGGCATGACAACATATCCTACATTGTATATGTATTCTGTATGCTCATAGTAGAAAAAATACAATAATATTTTCAGTTAGTACAATATACCGGAACATACCCTTAGTACAAACTTTAATACTGGCCAGACAACATATCTGTATCACTTGAAAAAGTAAATCTGCAAAAATAAAAAAATAAACAATTTTTTAATTCAGCTAAAATAATATCATGTAGTCTACTGTTGCCTGATGCTTTATTTTGTTTTCTCACTTTTTTAGCCTTGAAAATAAGAAAACGACAGTGACTACAAACATAGACAATACTGTAGCTACATCATCGGAATCATTAACAATAACTGGTTCGGTATTTACACAAGTTTTACCAAGTACAGTCAACGCTATTGCACCATCACCAACACCAGGGCAGGTAAGGCATCACTCTTACTTCTGTGAGCAACATCAGATGGTACGTCATGCATCTGTGCAGTATTATAAAGACCCAGCTTTGAAACCTTGCATACATGTACTAGTAAAATTGAAATGCAGTTTTAGCCCACCCATCTCGTAGCATATATGTAGATCTATTGAGGAATTAGTCGACATTTTATTCCCAAAATGTGAACTTGATTGGAAACTGTCCATCAGTACGTCAGTTATTTGTCTTCTATTTCTACACCATGCATTTGATCCGCAGAGATGATTCATTTTTAGCAAGTATGTGAATGTATTTTGTTTTGATCCATTTTGGTTTTTGTTGAATTTCACTTCTCTTGCCCTTATCTCCTTGTCAAGTACTGCAAATTGCTACCTGGCATACTTGTAATAGCAACAGTACCAATTTATAGGAATTTGTACAAAATTCTTTGAGTCTTCAAAATATATTTAAAGTTTTATAAAAATGTGTTACTTTAGGTTGTATATGTAAATGTGTCTGTGCTAAGTTGCTTGCAATGCAATATTGAAGTTATAGTGACGTCAAACACTCGGCAGTACACTGCAGCATCAAATCTTGTTTTCCCCCCCGAGTCATTAATCAGCTTGATTTTATTTTGCTCCTGGTTTACACGTCTGATGCATTCTAAGACCCCATGATTATTGCTTTCTTTAATAGTTTGTCATGGCGCTGTAAACTGAATGCTATAGTAAATGTGGATTCCAATATACTTTGTACATTTTACTGTACGCTGTATTATTTCACCCCACATACATAAAACACTTTTCCATTTCTTGTAGTGGCATATATTGAGTTTTTATTAAATCTGTAGTGTGTAATTGGATTATTTATATTTAATTATCATAGTATGAAGGAGATTTGAGCTGAATTGAAAATTATATGCCATGTTCATCCTACTTTCATTTTTATGGGTTTATGCTGAAAATGAAAAGAAAATTCGGGTCACCAGACAATTTTTCTAGACACAGGGATCTAAAATGTCCAGAAAAATGGTCAAAACTAGTATCATATCTCACAATTTTGTTTGGTAGCATAGGATGGAAAGTTGTATATTATGATTGACATGAATTTCAATATTGTGAAAAATTTGACATATAATGTTCCATAGTGATTCCATATATACAGTGGAAGGTTGTCTCTCACAATATATTGCATATATGTGCAATAACATGTTCAGTAGTGCAAAAGTGCTGTGTGTTTATGACAGACCATTTTCCGCTCACTTTGAGATTCAGCGTTATGCATGTAATTGAATGTAAAAACAGGACATACAAATGTATGTATAGCGTGTGAGATTCAATAACACAAAACAATTTTTTGGGTGTTTCCATGCCTAATAATGTGCTATACACATTTAATGATGATCAGTTTTGATAAAGGAAGGGTATGTCAATGACATATTCCTCTCTGAAAAATAAAAAGATAAATTCAAGTATGAAATCGAATCGTTTGTTTTTTGCGATTTTTCGGTTTGCGTCTTTAACACATTATGAGAGATCTTGCAGTGAAAGAATTTTCACCCATTGGTATTCAATGTTAATAACAGTATGATTTTTGATTTGTTTGTTGTCAGGGTGAATCTGCACCAGAGGGTTTACAAGCAAAAGCAATTTATCCATGGCGAGCTAAAAAAGACAATCATTTATCGTTTAGTAAAGGTGACATTATAGATATCAAGGAACAACAAGATATGTGGTGGTCTGGTGAATTGAATGGACAAGAAGGATGGTTTCCCAAATCTTATGTCAAGTTAATATCAGAACAGAAACGAGAAGGGTAGGTTTTACCAAACTAGCATTTTAAATACACCAAAAGTGATGCAAGGGTAGGTTTTACAAAACTAGCACTTTAAAATACACCAAAAGTGATGCAAGGTAATATTTTTGACTCCCGTGTGCGAGTCACACAATGGGAGTCTTTGCTGTTAGTCTGTATGTGTGTATGTGTGTCCGTTCCACTGATATCTCAAGAACCGCATGTTGGTTTTTTAATGAAACTTAGTGTATAGATGCTCTGGGTTAATGTGCAGATTTGATTAGGTTTGGGTTGAAATCCATGCATATTAGTCACCTTATTTGCATGATAATTAGCTAATTTTTAGCTGTTTTATGACTTGCACTTTATCTAAAGAGCCATTTATTGGATTTTGATTGTTTGATTAGTTTTATCATATTTGAAGCAGCACAAATGTTATGAGCAGCACACAGTGTTTTGGTTGTTAATGAGTTTATAAATACCTACTGTGTAAAGCATGTTATTTTAGCTAATTTTGCTCATTCAAGATGTAGCAAATTGAAAATAAAGTATATTCCCACAATGAGATTCTTTTAATTCATGCGTTGAGTCAAATTTATAAAACTGACAAGTTTTTACAGTAATTAAAATGTGATGTGGATGGAAATATCAATTGTGGTAATGATTTCTCTGTAAAGTTCTAGATCCCAGACACCAGTGGATTTTCTGGATTCAGCTCCTGTGAGTGTAACACCTACTCCGATGGCAGCAGAGAATGTGAATAACGCATCCCCTGCAATTACAAGAAAACATGACCAAATTGATACCACACCTCCAACTGAAAGTGAGTATAAATAAGATGTACCGGTACATAAAGACTCCATTAAGTTTTTCCTCATAATTCATTTGTTTTTTCTATAACTTTGAAATCTTGTTTAATGAACAACCAATCAGGGGTGCATCGTGTTACAAATTCGTTGCACTGAATAATCTACATTGCATTGATAGTCGCTTTAATGCTTCCAGTATATGTTTAAGTGATGTGAAAATATATGCGAGTATGTTGATGTTGGAAATATTAAATACGTTATTTTGTACTGAGTGTGACTCATCCCAAAGTCACTTTAGTTGGCAGCATTCTTTTTTCTGAGTTGTGAATCTGCAATGAGCTCCATTCCTAGATTACACGTCTGATGCATTCTAAGACCCCATGATTATTGCTTTCTTTAATAGTTTGTCATGGCGCTGTAAACTGAATGCTATAGTAAATGTGGATTCCAATATACTTTGTACATTCTACTGTATGCTGTATTATTTCACCCCACATACACATGCATCAAATAGTCATTAAATTGTCTCGTGTTGTTATTCAGAACACAATAAACGTTCAGTGTGATTTTCATTCTTTGAAAAATAACTGCTAAATTCATTTTTATGTTGTTTTCCCAAGCTTCCGTAGCAGTATATACATACACGTCAACAGAACCGGGTGATTTAATTTTTAATGCTGGTGATGTCATCACTGTGACTAAAAAAGATGGTGATTGGTGGAGTGGATATATCGGTGACAGATCAGGAATATTTCCAGCTAACTATGTTAAATTAATTGAATCAAGTGAACTCAATAGTCAGCAACCGGAACCTCAGACAATGACAGCCCCCAACAAATTAAAGCCAGCACCACAACCTCAAGCAGTAGCTCAGAAGTTACAACCAGCGCCACAACCTCAAGCAGTACCTCAGAAATTACAACCAGCGCCTCAGCCGGATAAACGAATGGACTTGAATATGCATGAAGATTCTTTATCTGGAGCCAGCACATTAGAGCGAACCAAACCGGGTAAATTTCATTTCTCATTATTTTGTGTGTGCTTTTATTAGAGTCAGTCTAAACAACACATTTGAAGTAAATTTGCAAGGGCTTCTGTTGGGCAGAACCCAGGCCTTATGTATATATTTATGAGTTGTTAATCACAATGAACTCCATTCCTGGATTACATGTCTGATGCATTCTAAGACCCCATGATTATTGCTTTCTTTAATAGTTTGTCATGGCGCTGTAAACTGAATGCTATAGTAAATGTGGATTCCAATATACTTTGTACATTCTGCTGTACGCTGTATTATTTCACCCCACATACATAACATTATTGTGCCATCTAGTATTAAAAACTGTGGAATTTACCATAAAAAACCATATAAGGGATAAACTATACTGTTCCAGATTATTGACATTACAATCAACTACTTACATTTGTTTACATTGGACGAAGAAGTGCGATAGAAAGACTTCCATCAATGAATGCAAACATACGCACAGTGAAAATACTTTGTGCGTTTTTAGCTGTTAAAATTATTGCTACAAGCAGAAAGCCATAATTATACGCATCTCATTGAACTGCGCTTCATGATGTCTGTCGATACGATCAGCGTACTGCTTCATTCATGTATACTTTCTGGTATTGTCACGGTTACCTCAAAGTATAACATTGTATTCATACATTAGGTGTTATTTGGAGCCTACTTCAAAGCTTTACATAGTCTAATAAATTATACATACAATGTAAGACAGGAAAATAGTAAATAAAAGCTAGAACAGTTACAGAAATGATTTTCCAATAGCTCTGTTTGTGTAGTATGAACCATAGGCTAACTGTCTTTAATTTCAAAAATTACTTTAAATATTGGGGTATGTACCCTCCATAATGTTCTATGGTTACTTCAGTACTATTTTAAGCAAATCAAACTTATCATCATTAATAAGGCTAAATTTATTCTCAGAAATTGCACAAGTATTGGCAGCTTATAAGGCCTCTGGTGAAGAGCAATTATCGTTAGAACCAGGTCAAGTTATACATGTGAGAAAGAAGAATCCTAGTGGATGGTGGGAAGGGGAATTACAGGTATGCTGCTAGTTGCATGTAAATTATATGTAAACTGTCTAGCATTTCTGTTTGTGGAGAATGCTGTTGTTAACTATAGCTCCTTAATTCCTGTTCATGTTGCCTTTTCCAGAAATTTGGCCAGCAATACTGTCATTTTCTAAGAAAACCAATGGCTGTCTTTCTCTAATGTGGGTGTGTAGGGTATACTGTATTTGCTCTGTTATCAGCACATATGCTTCTATGAATGACATAGATGTATCTATGGTATATGTAAGGGGTGAGTAGACAAACAGGTGATGAACTGCTGTGAGTATTGCACAACAACCAGCCACTACTACTACTGTATTCCATGCAGCAATGCAAAATTATCACATAGTTTCCAGCTCTCACTTGCGCTATGCGTAGCACTACAGTAATTACCACTGTGTGTGCCATCTGTTCGTCTACTCGCCCCAAGACATATTTTAATGATCTAGTATTTCAATAAATACAATTTTTGATTTATGTGGCTTTCAATTGGAATGTGCCTCTAGTAGAGCAAAAATAGTAGGCTTCATTCATCGTGTAGTTTGTAAGGCAAATTTAAAATATTGGTTGTCCTCACACTAAAATTTGACACGAGTTGTGGTTTTTGTTTTTTCAGGCACGAGGGAAGAAACGTCAAATTGGTTGGTTTCCTGCCAATTTTGTTAAATTACTTGGTGGTTCATCAACACCAACTCCAACAGACCAAGCTAAAGTTGCTTTATCAAATACTGCTCAGGTAAATGAAATATAACAATATTCATGGAAATAATATATTACTGTCCAGTTTTCATAGCAGTTTTTACGTTAGTACAGTACAACACATGTAAACCGTGCAGTTCAAATTTGATACCCATCAAAACTGAATTCTTTTCAAACCAGATACCTTTCTGAACATGCCATCTTTTTCCACTTCCTTCATGGATTTGTCTGTTAACATATATGAGCAAGGCATTAAAAAAATTATTTGGTTTCCCTCTTTAAATCAAGCAAACAGTCTTAATAGTAGTGGTGCCCAGTTTAGACAGGTTTAACTGTTTGAATATCTCCATGCATTTGTGTCTCAGAGCTCTGGAATATAATATTCATCTAATTTTAAGAGCAATTTCTAAAATTTTCTGTGATTGTGATTGTCTTTACAGAGTAATGAAGTGAATGGTGGAGGGCCAGCTGTAGTAAATACAGCACCGTCTAACACAAGTAAGAATTTATTACAGATATATTTATATGTATGTCATGTTTTCTTAGTGTCTTTGTTCACTCTGTTTTGTACTGCAAATAGTCATCTTAAGCGCTGTATGATTGTCTGGCTTGATCGAGAGGGGGTGCAGGTAGCTGTCTAAAGCGCCTTCTAAAGTGAAATGTTTTGGTGGAGTTTGAGTGGGTTGAAATAGGCACCTGACGCGCCCTCTAAGGTGAAATGTGTTGGTGGATAAAGCTGGTGGAAGTAGTCACCTGAAGCGCCCTCTAAGGTGTAATGTTTTGGTGGGGTTTGAGTGGGTTGAAATAGGCACCTGACGTACCCTCTAAGGTGAAATGTGTTGGTGGATAGAGCTGGTGGAAGTAGTCACCTGAAGCGCCCTCTAAGTTTAAATGTTTCGGTGGAAGAAGTCACATGAAGTGCCTTCTTAGGTTAAATGGTTTGGTAGATAGAGTTGGTGGAAGTAGTCATCCAAAGCGCCCTCTATATTGAAATGTTTTGGTGGTTGTAGTCACCCGAAGCACCCTCTATATTGAAATGTTTCGGTGGAAGTCGTCACCCGAAGTGCCCTCTATTGAAATGTTTCGGTGGAAGTAGTCACCCGAAGCGCCCTCTAAAGTTAAAGAGCAGTGGTTGTCGCGCAGCGCGTGTTAGAATTTCATGTAAATAAACAATGTATTTTAAACACATTGTATACGCCGCTATGAGTCCCATATCGAACAGGGCGCGGCGCGATGACTACTGCCTTTTAAATAGTTTAGTAGATAGAGTTGGTGGAAGTAGTCACCTGAAGCCCCCTCTATAGTGCAATGTTTTGCTGGATAGAGGCCATTCTTGGTAAATCCTGCATCCTAGGTTTGAAATAATTTCCAACATTGAAATAGAAACCACAGTTAATATCGTGACTGAAATATATGTTGTTTTTGTGTCAGTCTTTCAAGTGATAGCACAGTATCCTTACACAGCACAGAATGAGGATGAGCTGAACTTGAGTAAAGGTTGTGTCATAAATGTAGTAAACAAAGAAGATAAAGACTGGTGGAAAGGAGAACTCAACGGCACTGTAGGATTATTCCCTTCCAATTATGTACAACAATTAACAGATTCAGATGATACTGGAAACAAATGTAAGTAAATTCTGCTCTCTATAACCCTGATTTGCTAGTATATCTGTCCTTGGTAACCCTAGACGCAAATGCTCCTCAATCAACAATTATTCTCTTCTGTCAGTCATATCCAATGTTTTGAATATCTTGTTTACATAGATAAATGGACGTGATCGACAGGACAGGTTGTGATATTGTTTGAGGGGTAAACTGTGATTGATTAGAACGAGTGACTACTGTGGTGTAGGCATTGTATGTGCTGGGTAGTGGGAAATGATAAAGCTGAAACTGAATGTTCTCAGTGCATAATACTGTCACTGCGATGAAAAAACCGACATACTGAATGAATTTGTGGGTATAGAAGCATTTAAGAAGATTTTTGCCCAAACTATTAGTACCGGTGGTCAGGGTTAAAGCCAGAAAAAGAAGGTGCCTGTCTGAAATTTTATCGAAATGAAAGATGGTGGACCCTAGTCTATAATCAAAATCGATTGTTTGTTAATTATACATGGTTACTTAGTAATTTACGGGTGATTTTCAATGAAAATTGGACAGGTATAAATTTTGTTCATTTAATGAAATGTTTTACCTGTGCCTATCTAAAATGACAGACAGGTGGCTGGCTGGCTAAAACCATGTTGGTAGTCAATAAGTCAATCAAGGTTGTAATCACATAAAAATATATCAGTGTTTTCCATATTAACATAACTATGCAAGGTGGCACTAAATGTCTTAATGCTCCAATCTCAGATTTATTAATGTATAATAACATATTTGACAACAAAATATTAATTCCTATCCAATATAGCAAATATAATATCTATAATTTTTAGTAATTTAGTAATTTCATTTACTAATCTACTTGTGTTTATACATACAATCCTTCTCTATAAATCTAGAACTGCTTCAAACTTACATAGAGGGTGATTTCTTTTACTTCTACTGACTGAGGCTTTTTATCGCTATGTGTACATGTCAGTTTCATTTATACTTTTATTCTATAATTCCAACCTTGATCTTGTAAAGGTGGATAAACCTCACGATTTTGTTCTGCTTGAGAGAAAGTTTTCTATGTTGATCACCCCAAATATTCACATCCATTCATCTACATAACTCCACTTAATCACTACTTACTTTAGCATTGCTAATCCCATCTCTAATATCTCACTTGCTTCTCAACTCACTGTACATAAAAATTACATTTCAATTGGCTTATCTTTTCTTGTTTTGTTTTTTCATTTCTGTGCTTTTCCAGGATATGTTCATACTCACCCAAGTTACCCACTACCAAACAATGCCACAGATTCTAACAAATCAATCCAAGCTTTGTATCCTGCCACAAAAGTGGGTTTTACTCAAGACTATTAATTCTGCCGCCAAAAGAGAAGATGGAGTGATCAGGATTAGCTTCTTTTTAGCATTTTGATATACACTTGCAATAATTTGTAAACCACTGTGAAAGATTGGTAGTGGGTCCTTGTGTGTGTCCACTATCTCTTTATTTCAAATTTCTCCATGGAAACTGTAACCATGCTTTCTATTTCTTCATCCTCATCGCAAATATTCATGCGCAAGGTCATATGCACAAGGTCAAAGTTCACCCACTTGACCCACTACCAGCTTAACACGGGATGATATCAGTATTTGACTTTAAACCAGATAATGCCTTTCTTTTTTTTAGAATTAATTTAGCATCTCACTCGAATGTGCAAATTGATTTTCATTTCCCTGTCTGTGAATTTCAATCTAAAAGTCACAACTACGGAATCTGTTTTTAAAAAAAAAGGATGTATACTGCATGGATTTTAGTCGCTTTGTTTCTGTTAGACATCGTTTGTACATGTCAAAGATATGTTAAAATCAAATGTAACTCCCAGATAACTTTGATTTTTGAAGTTTTTAAAAACCATATTTGGGGGAAAATTATCATATGGCAATTTTCTTGAATTGCAAAAATTTATCTTATACATCACTATCAAACCTTAAACCAATTTTATGATAGAAGTTTAATAGAAGATATGTAATACACTTAAACATTAAACAAATCTTGTCGATATAAATGTACAGCATTTTCAATGAAATGTTGTTTTGAAATGAAATGTATCGCCTTACATAATACATATGTAGTAAAATATGGTATCTACAGTGCAGAATTCCTTTCATGTAGTGTATACAAACTGCATGTATGTACTCAGTAGGTGCAGGTAGGTACATCCTATGCACATGTAAGCTCTAGCTCTTCTCTACTCTTATTACATGCATGATGCAAGACAGGAAGTCCTGATTACCCGGTAATCCCATAATTTCAGAATACAGTTTTGTACTTACTGTTAATATGTGCTTCCATTTTATGCTTGATGAGCAAACTATTTAACTTTATCATTTCCGCTGAATTATTATTTTAGGATTTTGAAATATTTATTGATGTCCCATTTAAACTTTCTGCAAATTGTTGGGATCCTCTGTGCATGGTGATGTAGTCTAATTTCAGTGTGAACTTAGAAATGTAACCACTTTTATTAGATTATTATTTATTGCTTTCATTTATTGTAATAATTTGGTTTTATTTATTCAGACAATCAAAAGAGCTTCAAATCTTATCAAATTTGACATGTACCCCATTCATCTTTTGCCTTCCTCCCAGGATACACCTGTACCTTGTACTTGATGGTCTTGTACCTGTTACTTGTTTCAGTGTACTAAATGATTAAATCTTGATTTCTGGGATTTACATGTAATTCCAAAAAGAATAATTACTACCTGAAAATTGTGGGTAGTTGCATTATTTGCATTTACTGCCAGCCATTCTGTGTGCATTCAGCAGCACTTTTCTCTGTATTTGTAATTTCCTAATGTTTGCAGCATATGTGTCATATCACCTCCATACTTTATATTGATATCATTTCACCTGGTAAAACATCTCCATATAGTGATTTAAAACACCTCCCACTGGAGAATATTTGCCTTTTCATCCAGAGCAGACACTGATCATTTCTGGATTTTTGTTTTACTCAATTCTACATTTTGGTGCAAATTAAATCAAATCAAATGATGATGATGGTGATGATGATGATGTAACCGTTTAAAACTTTTTTTCTGCTCCACAAAAACATGGCAAATACAAGCTTTCAGCTGTTGTATAATACCGGTAACTGGAAATTCCATTCGGCATCTTATTTTCAGACTCGCATAAAGTTTCTATACATCAATTGTGAAATGCCTAGTTTCTGCTTCCATGACTTAACATCATTTTTTGATAGCATTTTCAAATGCGCATTTGCCAATTCAAGACAGCTACAATACAAGAAATCATTCAAGAGTAGATTGTAAGTTTATATTACAGTTAACACAATGCTGTTCATGCACTTTGGACAGCATTTGAAAATATTGTATGTTTAAGCATAGACTGTTGAAATCTTTAAATTTCAAGTTCATAGTTGGTGCTGATAAAACAATTCAATTTTTAATAATACGAGTATATGTAGTGTATTAGTGTTGTTTATTTAATATGTATAAGATATTCATAACTTTACATGTTTAGTTTCTCTATATTCCGTCATAACAATGCAATTTGGAGCAGAATAGTCAGTATATTTCATGATCTTTGTATGTCATTTTTAATTTTCCACATTGAGTTTGTATTGAACCACACCTCATCTGATTCAAGTCAACTATCTTCCATTCACTTTGTCCCTGTATTGTAATTCAAGCCTCATTTTGATCAACAACGACTCCATGTAAGGAAATCACATCCAAATCTTGTTTTGATCAAAAATCAGCTGGAATGTCAGAATATGATTCATCTTAGTAAGGCACTTTCTGATTCGTTAAATCATCACAGAGGAACTCTCCTTAACGTAATTTCTGTGCGTATTGTTTCAGGTGTGATTTATCCAGGCAACTGAGTTAAGATAAGCAAAAAAAATATGGATGTCTCTTAAAACTATATAGGATTGTAATCAGAGTGGGTTATATCGATAATATTCATGGCATGAACTATATGAAATATGTGTGGAAATATTAAACTATATGTAAATGTAACCCTTGTATTGTGTCAATATTATTGTTTACAATCTCTTCTGATGTACTTTAAAAAAAAATTATAAATTCAATGGCAGTTGAAATCTGTCATAGAATCTGCCTATTTAATATCACAAGTGCTTTCCACCATTATCAGATGTATCTTTGCAGTTTGAATCAGTGTATATGTATGTGTGTGTGTGTGTGTGTCTGTTTACTCCACTGATATCTAAAGAGCCATTCATTGCATTTTGATGAAACTTAGTACATAGATGCTCTCGGAAAATGCACAGATTTGATTAGTTTTGGGTGAAAATTCGTGAATATTAATCACTTATTTTGCATAATACTTTTGCCAATTTTTGTCTTTTCCAATGATATCTCAAGTACTGATAATCTGATTTTAATGAAACAAATCATTTTCTCACAACAGATTCTATGATGGCTGACTACATATTACTGATGAAAAGTTGAATATCTAGAGAATGAAATGTGATATAAAAAAACTGAATTGCATTCTACATTTGTGGAGCTTTTTCTTTAGAGGTCATTATGTTGTTTGGATTGATGTTTGCTTTAAAATATGTAGTATCTTATCTGAAAAACAAAATAATGTGCATCAAGGTCCTATAATGTCCAACGAATATACTAAGTTTGAACAAAATCCATCTATAAACATAATTTTGATGTTTTTTTAGCACAAAAATGGCTGCCATTCGGCCATCTTGAATCAGATCCTGAAACAAATTGATGTGCATATGTATAATATGATGTATGTGTGAAGTTTGATTGTGATTGATATGAGAGTGCTGGAATTTGAAATTATATATTGTATGCTTGTGATTAAATGTTTTAAATGTAGAACACTTGTACAATGAGATAAGGATACAGTAATAAAGCATATTCTTATTTCACTCAAAATCTTGCTTCATTTTGAATCCAAATACATAAATTTGAAAATGGTTGTTCGGGAGCGTGGCTTATCAAGAATGGCAGTTGAAACAAATACTGCATTGTTCCTAGGAATATTGCAGTGTTTCAAGGATAAGGAGATATAGTGGTTAGTGGTTTTTAATTTTCTTCCGGCGTGCTGTAACACAATAATGTAGACTCTTCTCATAGAGGTCAATGCAAGTTGTGTATCAGTAGTAAATAGCATTCGGTCATGCAAGTTAATCCCCAGTGGCAAGTACAGTGGATGAAATAAGGAAACAATGAATTCACACTACTACAGCTGGTTGTCTCTTCCTAAAGATCAGTAACTTTTAATTCAACGTTTTTGTTGAAGTGATATGTGACACACCGGATGAATGGTCTACATGGAATTAAAAGCTACCAATCTTTTAAAAGAGACAACCAGCTGTAGTAGTGTTAACTTATTCTTCATTGCTTCCCTATTTGGGTATCAGTAGGCCATATAGAAGGCAATACATCGATATCATTTGTGAACGACAATGTGAGGTATACTATACAATCCGACCCATAGAGGGCAAGCTACAAAAAAAAATGATGTAAAGTTTTGTATCGGTTGGCTGTAGCCCATAGAAGACAATGTACATGCAGATCGTCTACCCAAGGAAGGCTGTGTCTCAAAAAGACTCCCCATGGAAGACAATGTGAATATACATGTACGAGTAAACTCTACCCATAGAAAAGAGTTTATTGAAGTCATTAGTACATGTAGTCTCTTGCCATTGAGAGTAATACACATGTAAGTTGTGTATCAGTTGACTTAAGCCTTTAGAAGAAGATCTATATATACAGATATACTCTACCCGTAGAAAGCAGTGTTTTCTTCATCAATAGATGCTTCCCATAGAAGACATTGTGCATATCATCTACCAGTATTAGTAAACTCTGCCTATAGAGGGCAGTGCAACTACAGAATTCTAAGTAATGTTTGAATTTGTATTAATTATTTATTAAAGGGTACAAGGACCTGAAAGTGTATGAGAATTTGTCACCTTTAGAAAGAAAAAGACAACAACATATTCATGAACTGATTGACACAGAACAGAGTTATGTGGATAATATGCAGCTTGTCTTAGAAGTAGGTGGTGTTTTTTTCATGCCTTCTCTGAAACTCTTTAGATCATAGCTGTCACATTATTGTATGTGACTTTACATGCTAGTAGTGTCTGGCATGTTCTGTGTCATCAATATAATTTGAAGGGGCAAGGGGGGGGGGGATATCTGGCACAGGTAACAGGAAATAAAAAAGGCATTTTACATTTTTTACAGGAAATAAATAGAAAGTTCTATTTACAGTAAATTTAGGTTTTTACACTTTACAGATAAAGCAAATTCCTAATTACATTTTCCATTTTTATAATATATTTGATAGTTTGTGTTTAAGAATGTGTATGAATTACGACATTTAATTTGAAAAATGTCTTGTACGCTTACAAAAAATAAATTCTTTGTACAAATTACGGACAATTAAAATTTGTACGATTTTACGTTTTTTATTCATTTAAATAACATTCTTACGAAAATAAAAACAATTGATTACAGCTTACAAAAATACCCCTTGCCGACCCTCTAATTTGGCTGGTTCACATGTCAGTTGAACACTTCATCACCCGCCACCCATATTTTGAATTTGTTGAAGGTAACAAAAGTTGTATTTTACATGCATTGTTTACTGTAATTGAATGCATAATGAACGAAAGAATATTTCAGCATTCCTGCAACATTATTGGAAAAATTTCTTTCAAATTTGATATGATCATTCATTCCAGATATTATATTTTTCATATTCACAGTAATCATGCCTGGTTACAAATCATTTATTAATTCACATGTTTGTTTGTAATTTGTTTACTCATCTAATTGTGTTTGTAGGTATTCTACAAACCAATGGCAGAAGCAGCCATTGTCACAAAAGAAGAACTTGCTTCAATATTTGTCAACTGGAAAGAAATTATTATGTGTAATATGAAATTGTTAAAGTAAGTTTTCATTTCGTTATAACAAAGATTATCAAACAAATAAATAAATAAAATTTCCCTTGCAGATTGTCTTTTAACAAATTCACACACATTTACTCCAGAATGTACCGGTACATGTGGCAGGGGAGTATGTAATAAAAAAAAACACTACAAACTAAAGTCACATACGGTTTCTTTGAAAAAAAACATAGCGTTAATGAATTTTGAAGAAGAGTTATAAGAAATATCAAATTTTGGGTACCATAGTAGAGGGGAAACGCATAGAGCTGTAAAACACATCGATAAATCCACAAATACAGTTTTATTCCAATTTTTGGATGGATCTCATCTCTAGTTTGTTGCACTTAAGACCAGTGATGGTAAATTCTTGAATCAGTAACGTTTTCAACACTTTCTTTCAGAGCATTAAGAGTACGAAAGAAAATGAGCGGTGAGAGCTGTGTGATTCGTAATATTGGAGACATTCTTTGTGAACAGGTACCATCCTTTCACTGAAGTCAGCATTCAGTATTTACTCGCATGTTACATTTTAATTTCTTCTTCTGCATCCTCAGTGGTAAATCAGCAAAACATGAAAATGGGTGACTCATACCGCATTTGTTCCAATAGTACCAAATACCCTTATGTACATGACATACACTGAGGTTAATCTAAGGTCAAAATAAATACTATTTTATTGGTTCAGTATACAACAAATATGATTTTATATGTACTGCTATTGGAGATTCTATATCATAAGAGCAAATACAGTAACGAGATACATGTATAGCTAAAAATTGTGACTTTATGTTAAAATACTTTGTGTTTTTACATCACAGCTTCCCCATATGACACCATACATTAGATTTTGTAGTTGTCAACTTAGAGCCTCATCGCTAATACAAAAGAAGACGGATAACGGCAACGAATTTAAAGCCTTCATGAAAGTAAGTTAATACTGTTACAGTAACTCTCAAGATACGAGACTCTTACTTTCGTACATTTGGATTTGAAACTTTTATATCAACTCTTTTTGACCTTGACAAAAGTAAATAATGTTTATTATATACAACTGTCAACATAACGCCATAAGTTACAGCGTGCCATAATTTTGGGGTATTTTGCAGGGTATTTTCATCCTATCATATTAGGAAAAGCGAATTCCAAATATGGAATGATTACGCACGTAAGCGTCCTCTAATAATAAAAACAAACATGGCTACCACCAGAGTTTGACCGGATTCAACACAAAGAAGTTTGCTGATTCTGTTCTAAACATTTTGGATTTTGGCATTCCCATGGTGTATCCTTGGAAGGAAAAGATGTATAATAATAAGGTTATTACGAGAATACCTCAAAGTATGCACTCAGACAGTACGCTGCACATGCATACTTTGTTTATCCTCATAATAACGTCATAGTACACTTCAGTGTGGTGTCCTAGTGATGTTTTTCACATGCAGTGGGTCTATTCTGAATAATATTATCTACTTCTCTTTGTATTACCAAATGTAAACTGTATGTCACACTCATTCAGTGGTGTCTGTGGCTGTCATATTGTACCATACTCTACCATTCACATCTGAAGATTATGTGATGAAAACAAGTACGATCAAACCGTTTTTACAAGGTTATGCCGTGCGGCTGAATACTTGCACCAGACACTCCAGCATCTGTGTCCTGACACGTGAGACTGTCTTTAGTACATACATTTGTTTAATTTGTTTGTATAACTTTTCATTATAATATTTCTTATTTTATAGAAATGTACCGCCAATCCAAAAACCAAAGGTTTACCATTCAGTGGGTACCTTATAAAGCCAATGCAACGAGTCACTAAGTATCCACTGCTGATTGGCAAGGCAAGTCCATTCATATTTATATGTGTAAACACTTTTGATGTTTGAAATGTGTTGAAATAGACCAATGCTCAAAATATAAGCAATGTAGTGTGAACACAAAGGTCACATCAAAAAAAAATTTGGTCTTGCCCTTGTTCATAAGTTTTAAATTGCTTTTTACTATTTAAATAACTGCATGCCTTCAAGACCTACAATGTTTCAATATATTTTTTATAATTTCTCTTTGACCAAATAAACATAATTCCCCCTTTTCCAGGTCAACATTTGTGGAAAAATATTAATTTATAAAAAAAAAAATATATTATTTTTCTTTCAATAACTATAACTTTTCTTATGTGAGACAGATTTTAGAAAATACCCCAGTGTATCACCCTGATCATGATAATGTGGAATCAGCGCTAGAGAAAGCTACTGAACTTTGTAATCAAGTCAATGAAGGGGTGAGAGAAAAAGAGAATTCTGACAGATTGGAATGGTTACAGTCTCATGTGCAATGTGATGGTTTAGCTGAGGTAAGCTTTGCTGCTGCTTTACATTTGTGTCATAGCTTCATGGGTTTCCATATCCTACCTTTGTAAAAAAACACTACAAACAGGTAAAGTATTGCAAGCAAATAACACACATGTACTCAAAACGAGGCTGCCGACACCTGGTACCCAGATACGACAGAGATGGTATACCTTATTAGAAAGTCAAAATACCAAATAAGAAACAATGACATGAATTTATAAGACGACACAATAAAGGTTCCAACATTTGTCCATTACCTTGCCTACACCATGGAAGGTACTAACGGAAGGAGCCACGACGCCTATCAAGTGGCCACTTAAGCTCTAACTGGCTTATTTCCTTTTGTTTCAACCCAAATTAATCTGATAGGGACATTGTCTAGCTCATCTTTGATGTCGATGATAGTTTGCGATTGTTTACACAAGTAACGAGTTAGCGGAGTATGATATAACCTCGCCGATTTTTAATGTGACCATAAAATATATGCGCATTATGAAACCTTGGTCATCACACATGCGCACTGGGCTTTGTTTAGGTGTGAAAGGTCAAAATACGTATTTCACATCCGGAAATTCAACAGATGAACGTTTGACTCCACAAATTTCACATGTTTTAATTATTAGCAACTGTAACTATAACAAGATTCCGAGTGCATACAACAACAATTCCTAAGGACTCCTAAAAAATATTATTACAGAGAAAGTGTCTAGCATGCTCTTCTTTCGATACTATCTTTTCTGTTGGTGTTCGCCGATGTCCGGTGGTCAAAAATTTCGACAGTTTCGGACACCAAACCCACGCACTGACAATGGTACCATTGAATAATGCAATCGTCACAAGCAATCATTGATTAAGTCTCATTACCATTACAAATACAAAATTCACGATATTTCATCAGTTCTTCTTTAATCAATGTTACCGGTATATGTGACAATTTTCCATAAGAGTTCGCCAAGATCTCCGGAAACAACAGCATTCAAACTAAAATTTGTTTTTTCAATATTGTACATGCGAGGTTCGACTATCGCTTCCGAACATGCTCCGAATATTACCGAATGCTCGAGATTAGCGTAACCCATTATACGAAGGTGCTAAAAGCTAAAAAGAACAATGTTTGTGAATAAACATTGACAAACGATCATGGGGTAAAGCTAAAACAATAGCGTCGTGGCTCCTTCCGTTAGTACCTTCCATGCCTACACCAAGCAGTTTGGAAGCTATGATGAGTTTTTCATCATGATTCAGCTATGTTTGCATAAAACAATGCGACCTCTGTGTTGATACCGGCTTATATATGTATGCTTTGTGGCTGCTTGATTAATAGATTATTATGGTAATAATCCTATGTCAAAACAGATCACTGGTAAAATATGTTATATCACTGATTTTTCATTCAATAACTGAACTCCTTTTATTATACATCGTTTCACTGATTAGTTATGCTGTGGGGACATTTTTAGCTCCACTGTCGACTTTGTCGAGCGGAGCTTATCATATGAGTGATTGTCTGTCGGCGTCCGTGTCAATGTTTTACTTTTTCGACTTCTTCTTGAAAACTACAAGCCTGAATGCTTTGATACTTGGTATGTATGTACCTGGGGTAGACCTCTCTTAGATTTGTTCATTTCATGATGATATCTTCAATTCTCTAATTTTGGTGAATATTTTTGGTAAAAAGTGATATTTTTGACTTCTTGTTAAAAACCGCAAGTCCAATTGCTTTGATATTGCATATATAGATGCTACATGTGGACCTTTCTCAGATTTGTTCATTTCGTGATGATATCTTAAATTCTCTAATTTTGGTGAATATTTTTGTCATTTTTGGTAAAAAGTGATTTTTTTGACTTCTTGTTAAAAACAGCAAGTCCGATTGCTATACATACTATACATATTGTTCATTTTCTAATGATATCTTCAGTTCTTCAATTGAAATGTGCCTTGCTAACAGCGGAGCTATCTCAGCCGAGAGGCTGCTTGTTTATTATACATGCACTTTAAAGATGTGCTTTTTATAATTCAATGTTTTGTTATTTTTCAGGAACTTATTTTTAACTCGGTGACGAATTGTTTGGGACAGAGAAAGTTTTTATTCTCAGGTACTTTAGTGAAAGTAAGTAATAAACACTTGTAATCTTTTTATTCAAATGACTGAGTTTTCTATGATACTGGCTGATGAATAAATATTAATTTGAGATTTAGAAATTGTATGTAAGAAATGTTAGTTGCATCTATCTAGTATGTTAATATAGTGAATGAACTTATTATTTGATGTTATAAACACGCTTTTGTAGTTTTTTTTTTTACTCCTGTGTGTGAGTTAGTTAGTGCATCTGTGTGTGCATGTGTGTGCATGTGTCCGTTACACTGATATCCCAAGAACCTAGATTTTGATAAAATTTGATACATAGATGCTCTGAGATAATGCTCAGACCAGATTACTTTTGAGTTACCCCGGTAAGTATTTTCACTTTTTCCAAAAAAAACAAATTTCAATGAAACTTGATACGTGGATGCTATGAGATAATGTCCGAACTTGATTAGTTTTTGGTTGAAATCAATGTGACATAACCATAGACCTTTCTAAGGTCTATGATGTACGGTAACATAATGATTTCCTTTTTTTGTCATAGGCCAAAAGCAATAAAGAATTAGTTGGATTTTTATTTAATGACTTTCTATTATTAACAACACCCACCAAGCAAGGTATAACAGTATTTAATATGGATGCCAAGCCAGGTATTCTCTTTAAAATGTACAGAAATGTAAGTATAAATTCCTGCCATCAATTTTATCAGTCACAGGTAGAGGGCAGTATCCCATGTTGGGGGCGCTATGTTTAACTGACTGGTGGCCATTTTTTCCTAAAAGTCTTAACATTTCATCAACCTATTCATCAAACTGTTGATATTTGAAAACTAAATAAATGCGACCAATGTATTCTGGCAACATTTGCCAATGTGCCAAAGTTTTACCGAACAACACCAGATACTTCAAATCACATTATGGGTATACAGACCAGCTACTGGGCTGTATTTAATGTCTGCTAAAGTGCTACCTTCTGATATGAGCTGCATAAAAATATGCTGTAGATCTTATTTGCTGTATAATCAGGATTTTTTTGTTAAGAGGTGACTGTCAGCTAAATATTAGTCTACTCGAGTTGTTCAACCAGTTACTTCTGATTAATAGCACACACACTTACATGAATGACAGAGGTATTTATGGTTAAATTAAATCATATTTTAATGATCCAGCATACATACATTACAGTCAAACCTGTGCAATTTTTGGTATATACGGTATGTGCTTCTAATAAAGCAATACATACTGTCTATAATGGCGCCATGTTGTGGTATTATCTTTTTTTACAGCCATTATTTCTAAATGAAATCAATGTCAAGGGACCTACTGATAAAGAAGAAGATAGTTTATTTCATTTGTCTCATATTGATAAAGTTTACAGTTTAAAAACAGACTCTGTCAGTGAAAGGTGAGACTCATAGAAATATCAGTAGACAAATATACAGTTTAAATTTAAGCCATTGTTTGACTTTAGCCAGTGTCACATTTTACATTTTAGGTTACATTACATGTGGGCTAGTACTTAACGCAGTGACATCGGTAACTGCACATGCTCAGGAATTGAGTCCTCAGCAGCGATAACAACACCCGCTAAACACACAAAGGCTCTACACTCTTGTTTGTAATCAACCTGGTAGAGCCGTCTGTCATATGCACCGACTTCCCTTGCTTTAAGACAAAACCACACACATATTTCTTGCTTATGTGCACCCATAAAATAATAACATCAATGAATGTTCAGATGTTTTTGAAATGAAATAAAATTGTCAAAAATGGGTGATAAAAAACAATATAGTTGGTTAACATAGTGTTAAAATAAAAATTGTAAGTTGGAGAATGGGTTTATCTGTGAACATGTTTTAAGTATCAATATTAACACTGTTTTGTCTTTTATTTTGCGTTTCAATAGAACAAAATGGCTCAACAAAATACAAGAAGCAACCACAGTTTTTATTGAAACAGAAAAAAAGAAACTGGAAAAAGCCCACCTAGGTTTGTGAACTAATGTTATAAAGGCCTACTTTGGTCACTGAACTTCAGTGTAATATAAAGACCCACCTAGGTTTGTGAACTAATTACCTAAAAGCCTGCTTAAGTTTGTGTACAAATTTCCTAAAAGCCTGCCTATGTTTGAGGACTACTTTTCTTAAAGCCTGCCTAGATTTGTTAACTAAATTCCTAAAACCCTGCCTAGATTTGTTAACTAAATTCCTAAAACCCTGCCTAGGTTTGTTAACTTATTTTTGGAATGCACTTCAAGCTTTGTGAACTAATTTCCTAAATTATTGGGCCAGGTCACTCTATGCATTGATTGACAAGCTTATATAGCATACTATAGCAGTGGGTTCATATAGCTTCTTGTGTTGGTCTTTAGTCTTTGTGGTGGTATTTTAGTCATTTCTGATATATTTGTTATTTTCAGACATTATGATTTTTATTGACACAGAAGATCTATGGTTTCTTCCATAGACTTGCGTACTGTAACACAAACATGCGATGTCAAATTATATCGTAGATAAAAGTCAACAAAAGCAGAATCAATAATATGTTTATTAAACTCTCACCAAAACCAAAACCGTGACAAAAACCATTAGTTTGTTGTTCTTTTCTTCAGGTCCAACAAGGACAATATTACCGAGAGGGTATTCACTGGAGAAGGTATTCCTGATAACTTAGATACTTCCATAAAGCAAAACCTACAAATAAATGTCTTTCCATGCATGGTAGGATACAGAGAAAATAGACAACAACAGTAAATACCACGAACTCCATAGAAAAATACTGATAGTAAGACTACCATTTCCTGGAGTTTTAGCTGTACCATTTTCCAAGGGAAGTCCTAATGCAGTTACATTTAGCCATGGTTACTAAAAAAGACTCTTTTTTTAGTAACCGTGATTTAGCCAATTAATTTTGTCCTTGTTCAACCTCAAGAAAATGGCTGTCACTAGAGTCACATACGGTTTAACTAAATCTCGGGAAAAACAACTTTGAACAGATCATTTTTGTCACAGTTTTCATGTTGGGGAGTGTTTAATAAGCATACTATTGATAGGCGATAGTGTCTGTTGCATGCTATGTAAAAATAGTGTACTTTTATAAAATTGTATTTGCAACACCATTTGGTGTTGCTTGTTTGTGTTACGCAAGACAATGGAAGGAACTATAGCTGTCAATAAACATCCTACATCTGAAAATAACAAATTAATTGACATGTTTCTTGGTACTCAGTCTATGATAGAAATATTGAACATATAATCAAGCCATAAAAAACTCAATAATGAGTCTAAATAAATAATTTTCTTTATTAATGTGATTTTTTAGCTCGTACTCAGAGAAGTAAAGGAGTTGGAAGGTTATTTGTGACAATCTTAGAAGGTGCTGATCTAAAACCAGTTGACAGAAATGGTGAGAAAACTGAACTCCAGATAGTTGGTGTAATTAGCAATTTGATTGTAAACTCCCATGTACAGTTAAGATGGAATTATCATTACGAATTATGTTAAAGAAAAATTTTCTAAAAGGATTTAAATCTTAAGTGCTAGATGAATACGGCTTTACCATATTTGTAGAGTATGTGCTTACATAAATTACACTTGTCAAAATAATTAAAGCGCGGTGGTCGTTGCGCAGCGCGTGTTCGAATTTCATGTAAATAAACAACGTATTTTACATGCGTTGTATACGTCGCTATGAGTCCCATATCAAACAGGACGCGGTACGACGACTGCCGCCCTTTAATATTTTAATTATTCCATATACAACAAATGGGATTGTTCGTTTATTTGCGCTTCTATTGTAGATGTGCTTAAATAGAGAAAATACAGTTTTCTTGGATTGATCCAGAGTGTCCAAACACATTTTCTGGATTGAAATCGATATAGGGTCTCTGTCTCTACACTATATATAAGATTGTACACTTATAGATGTTCTGTATTGTCTTGTAGGTTTAGCTGATCCATACTGTGAAGTCAGTATGGGTGTACAGGAACATAAAACTAAGATTATACCGAATACATTAAATCCAAAGTGGATGTCATCTATGCAATTTATTGTACAAAACATAGATCAAGATGTGCTATGTATAACAGTCTTTGACCGAGACTTGTTCTCTCCAAACGGTGAGTTTACCACATGTTGCACACGCCCTCTATTATTGGCTAGCTACTGTAAATGCATTAATTATTTGCTGGTTTTTAATTTCTCTATTTTCATTGATAAGTAAAATTCGCTAAATTAAATCCATGTGTATGTGTGAAATAACAATAGAAGTCATTGTTTCTCTGCTATCTGAACTTAAAAGCCAGTGAAATTGCTCAATTCATTGAAATTAAATTTCAGTGAAAATAAACAGTTTTACAGTATATTGTAAATAACATTTTTACTACTATAATTTCCATCATGATTTTTTCGCTTAAAAAGTGTTCCATTCTCCCCTATTGATTGCATCCATTGTTCCACTGATCCATGGTAATAGGAACAGTGGACCAATGAGAATTGAATACTATTTCAAGAACAAAAACGAGTCTTGTGGTTCTCTCATTCACAACAATATCTTGGCGATCATCAATCTGATTATTAAAAATCTGATGTAGGTATGTGGCTCCAATTTTTTTATTTTTTATTATTAATATTTTATTTATTATTTTTTTTATGACCCTTTATATAATATTTATTTGTAATAAAAAAAAAAAAATTGGAGCCTCATACCTACGTTGGTTTTTAATCAGATTGGGTGATCTACATCTATTAAAGCAGTATATGGTATTTTAATAAAAGTATAAGGTATTGTTATAATTTAATGAATTCATAGGGACAGGGATAAATTAAAAGCAGTTAACTGCTTCAGGAATGCTTTGATTATTACTGTGAATATATCTAAAAGCTTCAATAACTTATTGGCATATTCACAGATTTTCTTGGTAGAACAGAAATCCGGTTATCTGACATCAAAAAAGAACTGAGTGATCGTGATTTACGAGGCCCGTTACAGAAGAAGTTACTATTACATGAAGTAGACACGGGTGATGTGAGCATCAAGCTGGATCTCAAATTATATGGTGAATCATGACGATGAATACTGACATTGAAATGCAATTAAACCATGGTGACGGGCTGACCTACACTGTCAGTCATCCATGTGACAGAATATGAATCATATCAGATTAGTAACATCAATGAAGGCAGACAACTTGAATGACAATCATTGTGGCTGTGACAAACTATGCATTATACTCATCTTAACCACACAGTATGAATCATGATGGTGATGCAACAAAGACATATGGATTGACATGTGCTTTACACATACTGTAAAGTGCTACCCCAGAACATATTCTCACTAATGTTGTGTATTTAACAAAATGGTGACTACAGAATTGTTACTCCATGTAGTATCTAAGTCATATAAGTTTATTGCGAAGATACCTCAAAGTATGCACGAAGACAGTACAGTGGCAGTATCGATCGATGCACAGCGGAGGTCGATGCAACAGTGTACTGTCTGAGTGGTATCTTCATAATAACCTTATTATTATACATCTTTTCCTACCAAGGATACATCATGGGAATGCTGAAATCTGAAAAGTTTAGAATAAAATCAGCCAACTTCTTTGTATGGAGTCCTGTCAAACCCTGGTGGCAGCTATGTTTGTTTTTACCTTGCCCGTACCATCAAAGATGGAAGGGAAAGGTATATTAAGGGAAAAATTTTGTCCGGCGTTGTCGTCGTCGTTGTTGTTGTCGTCGTCGTCGTTAATAATTGTTATTGTGTGCATAATAACTTTACTAATTCTATTCCAAACTTCATCAAACTTGGTCACCTTATTCATCAGTATAAAGTCTTCCCTGAGTTTGAACAACAGATGTCCTGTATGAAAATATCATGCAAAAATTGAGAAAATCTGATAAAATATTTTGACTGTTTCTACTTGACTGATCACTGGTGATACACATCAAAGGTCACTGATCTCAGTGGAAATATGCATTGTTGTATGTGTTCAATGAAGCAAATGATTTATCTTGTAATAATATCCTTGGTAATGTATCTCAGA